AGTATGAAGTGTGATATACAAAACACTTAAGTATTTTCTTAGGGCCGGAGACGTTTCTTTTGCAGGCCTGGATACCGAGATAATGTCGTAGCCGTCTCACAATAAGCATCGGCGCGAACCGACTGTCTGTATCCGTCATCCGAATAATACACTATACCACAGTTGAACATCATCAATAATTGATCAATCGCTAATGTTTCGACCGACAGCTGTTGATCGAATTACAAAATTTATATACACAGGGTGTCTTTGGGCTACCCTAATCACAAATTGACAGTCAATAATTTAAGCGAATAGTAAATTGTAAAAAAAATTTGAGCATTACATAATGTAAGACAAAAAAAAATAACGGTAATAAAAATAAGATAATATACAACTATGTCATTAAAAAATATTAGTATTTACTATTTGGCGGTTGATCAGTTACTTAAAATATTTTATTACTCGTCACATTGTCTAAATATTTTAATAAAAAATCGTCCAACTATACAATAACAATTAGTCAATAATTAATCGTCTGTCAATCTTGTTTAAACTAATGAATAAACATTTTTTTTTTAGTAACCGCAGTATCATACATTTGTAGTCATTAAAAAAACAATTTTAAATAAATTGAATCTCTTAATATGATATAACTAATTTATTTATGAATAGTTAGATATTTCATAACATGCATAGTAAGAGTTATCACTAATCTTAAGATCTGAAAATTAGATAAAACGTAGGTCTAGAGTTGTAAGACTATAATATTTATTAAAACATAGTCTATCCATACTTTGGGTTGCCTTAATAGACATCGATTATAGAGGTCAATACTTATGCACATAGTAGTAAATTATAAAAAAAAAATTGAGTATTCAGATAGTAAAAATAGCATTAAAGTAAAATAAATAATAGATGCGTATAAACTACTATGCGCATAAAATATTTTAGTATTTAGTACTATTTAGTGGTCGATCAGTTAGTATAATTTGAAAATTAGTTATGAAATTAGTAATTACTACATTATGAGTACTGATTTTTATTAGTTAATTATGGTGAAATATGTATAATTATTAGTTCTCCTAAAGTAACCGATTTCATAATCGAATCAATTGAAGTTAAGCGGTTTTAATTGGCTCATCACTCATGATAGGTGATTGGTTTTTAATTTTTAATCAGATTATTAGTCGGCTGATAACTTGCAAAATACCATTCACAACATGATAAAAAAACAGTCATATTATTTTATGCATTTTGATTATCCGTCAACTTTGCTTACAAATACAATTATTTCACTAGTCATGTTTAAAAAGTAAGTACCATCGTTTATATGCACCCCATACATAGTACTCACACTGAGTTGAAGACATTTATAAGTACTATTCATCTGGCGTCGCACTTAATCGAATTTGTTTATAGTTACTTAACAGTATGTCAAGACTGCAGAATGACTACTCCCCAGGTGATCGTTCAAAACGTACAGCTACCATAAAAACCCAGATGGTCTCTCCGGGTGTATGTTCCTTGTATATTTTCTTGTAAAACTTTAACTCATGCATTGAATCGGTTTTTTTTTATTTATTCATTCCCGTTGCGTGTAACCTAACGTGGAAGAAAAACTGACCAGTTTAAGCATGATAACATAATCTTAATAATTTTGACAAGAGCGATTTTTAATGATGTTATACGATTAACCTAGTTATAGGAATTTTACAATTAATGCTCAAAAGTTTATAACTTTACTCGAGTATTTATTTTTTTTCTATTCAATGTTAGAGACTTAATTTTAAGTATACTGTGTTTACATAATAATATATACACATAATGTGCATCCTCTTAGTGGCCAAAACGTCGAATTCGTGTTGCCCTCGTTTCTTTTCTCTCTCTCTCTTTCAACTTATCTGCCCGGTTAATAGCGTCAATCGTCGGGGAAGACAATAAAATCCAACGGTTCGTTATTAAATTTAATGATAAGGGGGCATATTATATTGTGCGTTGCCGGTGCTTTCTGATAAAAACAACCGTGCGTTCGGCGAAAACCATAAAAGTATAAAACCGCGTGCAACGTCGTTTGCCGGATATCCGACCAAATGTACCTGGGGAGCGTTGGAAGTCCACCAAAAAGTACACGTGTGTGTGTGCTCGTGCAGTTAAAACGGTGCCCGAGTGCCGACATTGCTAAGATAACGCCAAGGCGGTATAAATAAAAAAAATATACAGCGCTATCCGAATGTTTTTCATCTGATCGACCGCTAAATAGGAAATAGTAATTTTTTTTTATACGCATAGTTGTGCATAAACAAAATATTCATCGATACAGTTAATTAACACTAACTCAATTTTTGGGCAATTGTCTCTGATTAATTTAAACACACATTTTTTTAAAAAACTTAATCTGATTTTATCTAACCTTAAGCCCTAAAACTATATCTAAATAAGATCAATAAAGCATAAAGTGCCACCTCTTCCAGGGGAAAGGGTTTATGATATCTTTTCGGTTTGAATAGTTCATACAAATTTGTAGCTAGTTTGACTGTTTTTTTTTTAAATGTATAACGCGCCTTAGTTTTAAGAATATAAATATGGAATTTTTTGGTATTTTCCTCGAATTTGAGTGGAAATGAGTAAACTAAAAAATACCTTGCAGATACAATTTCTGAATTACTTATAGAGTCGTTACATTAGGATATAGTGGGTCTAGATACAAAAATACAAAGATTTCACTTTATAAAGTTAATCTATAATATATAAACAATACCTTCTCAGCTACGCATTAAAGCTAAACATGTTTAGCTTTAATGCGTAGCTTTAAATGTTTAGCTTTAATAGCAAATTATAATATTAATATTCAACTTGAAAATACAATTGAGTTGTCCAGATGACGTATGTAACCTAATGTATGGACTGATAACCTTATTTGTTTTTATTTAAAGCCTGGCACTAATTATTGCAAAAATAAAAAGGCAAATCACTGGTTGATGGTTATATTCTGATATAAAAAATACTATTTTTAAACCTTCAGATTTGTCGGGGCAACCTTTTCCTAGCATTAAATATATATTATAATATAATATAATACATAAAAATATATTTTTTTAACAGCCACGCGTTATTTTCCAGCTTGTCTCGTATACTATTAGAGATGAATATGAAATTAGAAGGAATGCAATTATATGCACGTTGGAAATACTCGGAAAATGTTTGTATAAATCAACCTTTTTCTGCCACTCTGACATTGCCACTTATTTGAAATCCTATTTCGCTATCACACCTACCTGCGGAATATTTTTGCATTTAAATGGAACTATTTCGAATCACTTAGTTTTCATATATTTTGTCATGTGCATAATTATGTATACGACATAACGTTGACAATGACGGATGGTAATGATAAATAATAATATAATAAAGTACGAACTAAGCGTATGACTAATGGCGAATGAAAGAAAAAAAATGTTGTTATTAACAAGCAATTTGATGTTACTTAAGTTGAATTTCATAAAACGAAATACTTGTATTCGATAAAAATAAAAATAGTTTTATTCAAACCGTACATTACAGTGTTTAAGTTTTCCAATAGAATAATTGTTAGGTTAGGTTAGACAAAAAAATCCTTATTATATATAATGACCAAAAGTAATAATGTTCACGTTCAAGTTAAAAAAAAATATTATTTTGAAAGGTATAAATTAAAAGGTTCCTTTTAAAATCGAGTACATATTATTTGACATGCTCATTAATGAACAAAATGGCACAATGAAAATAACTACCAGCGAGGTAGACTGTAAAATGTTATTAATTAACATCCGCATAATATAATCCATCCGCACTTTCTTCCTCGCCTAAACTTAAAATGCTCTCAACTCAAAAAGCGTTTATTTAAAAGTCATTATTTCCATTCAGCGTTATGCGATTTTAATAGACGATTAAAATTTTTTTTTGTTGCTTTATTTTGACTTTTAACAATAGCGTTCCCTATAAGAATGCCGTTGGAAGATGATATAATTTTTTCTTAAATAATAAATATTAAAAAAAAACATTTTATTTGAAATTTTTATTGGTTACATAATTGTTTGATTGAAATCATTACTGCTACAGCAATTCGGATCACCCTGTACATATATAATGTACAAGCACGTGAACATGTTTCCCTCCAAGATGAATGTGACCTTAAGAATATCACGCGAGCCCATTATTTATCAGCAGCTTTGTGTTGCAGGCACAGCCCGGGATGGTGTATGAATTATTATTGTTGTTATTACTATTCAAAACAATTTTACCGCCCATTAAAGATCCTGTTAAGACAAATCATTATCACTTTTTATGAACAAAGCCCGACAGACGGGCTGGGCTGGTTGAAAACTTAAATTATATTCAAATACGTTTAAAGTCCAAGACGGGTTTTTCATTAATAATGTGAGCACATTAGTGTTAATTAGTAATTAATTACTAACTCGATTCCACCGATTGGGTAAAAAAGAAAACAACATTTTCTTTGGTAATATTTCCGAGTTGATCATGACTTGTCAACAGAGAGTCTTCGCACTTACAGCAGCTAGTACAGGGTTATCTATGACTCAGTCAAACCCAGTTTTTTGAATTATTATTTTTCATAATTTCATAGTTCTTATAGTTAAGGTCAGATTTCATATATTTTTCAATAATATCACCACATCGCTCGTATGTTAAAACTCTACTTTAACGATTAAGTATGCATTTTATTTACTTCTAACCACTTTTGGATAATTCACTTTTTATATATAATATAAGCAATTTTAATAATATATATATCACACTTAAGTTGTGATACTGTTTGTGAATACGAGTTTGAGAAATTATAACTTATTTAATAGGTTTACATTTGAAATATTCTAAATATTCCCAAGTTAGTGCATACTAACCTAACCTAACCTAACGGGATTCTAAAATTCTGGTTTTAGAGGACATAATATGCTGAGCTAGAACTGTAGGCCAGACCCCCTCTACGGTAATAATGTATACATTTAAGTATGACTCACCCCATCCGATGGCCATGTAAGTCCGAAGTCGAAGCCGGTCTGGGAAAAAAGTATCCACGACCAGTATGAACAGATACATGCCTGTAAAATAAACATTTATTGACTTACTAAATTTAGTTTAAAGCTTAAGACTTTTTTTGGGAGGACCTAACCTAACCTAATCGTAATACAACATTAAATGAAATATCTTCATACAAATTATAGGTAATTATTTGAATGAATCATCACCCTGTAGATAGCCTTGCTCGTCCGTTAAGACTAATCAGCTATAATTTCTGCCGTCAATATTCAGCAAATGGTAATATTTCCCGCAACAGCTGTTGGTCGTTTATCTATTTGGTTTCGGTTAACTCTACACAAAGTTTTCTCTGCCAGAAATCGAGTACGCCGTTTATTTAGGACTATAGTGATAATACTATTCTAATTCGATCCTAATGGATGAGTTTGTATTTGTTTACCTTCGATGAAAGCCCAAAAGTAATTCGTCACCGTGAAATAGTACAAAGGTAACGCCACCATAAGACATTCCTCTACACCTGCGTCGAATAGAATCTGTTAAAACAATAACAATTCAACATTTTATTGTGATTAAATTAAAATTTGTTTTTTTTTTTTTACAATATAAGATAATACTCTAATTTGTATCTTTTTAATTTTTTTAACAATTTTAAAACATAAATGGTTACCTATATAGATATTTAAATAACTTTTTAAACTAATAATAATTCTATGAAAATACTGACAGGTCGATAATCAGTTATGGATAATTAATTTTTAAACTTTAATAACTTTAAAAGCAACTATCCAACACCTACTATCGACCAAAATGAAAATGTTTAGAAAATTATTTTGAATTTAAAAAGCTAATTGAATATAAATAGGTACGTCACGGTTTAAGTTTAAATGTCAAATACTATTTAAAGAAAAACTGAATCATCCTGTGTATTGATATAGGTAATATTGATTTGTATCGACTTACCGTGTAAGTTATTATCCACATGATGGCGGACAACAGATACGAAGCCATCAAATTCATATGGATTTTGTTCCTCAGGCATTTCAATTCTCTACAAACAACCGACATTGCAACAATAATATTATTATTATTCAAATGCATAATAATATAGCGGTGGTGCTAGTACAGGGCAGAGGAATATACACAGTGTTATGTTAACCGGACGCAGACACTTGGCGGTAGTACTCACTTGAACTTGTAGAACACGATAATGGCTAACGAAGTCATTATGACCGACAAACAATGGCCGGCTATGTAAAGGTAAATTATAGTGTTCACCGTGCCCTCTTCATCGTCCGTCGGGACCACGGGGATGATGAGCTCGGTCAGTGGTTGTTCGCATTGGCTAAAATCGGTCAGACCCCAAGTCCGGTTCTCGTAGCAAATCCGGCTGGCGTTTTCTAAAAAAAAAAAAAATCCAAAACAATAAACATCCGTGTGTACAAAGTTATATAGCCCTCCACAGATGTACAGAAAGTGCCAATTAAAGTTTTTTTGAATGCCAGTGTCTAGTGGATAATATTTGTTTGTAGAGTTGGGCCAGAACAATTATATTATTCTAATCTACTTAATGCAATAAAACACAATTGCCATTTGTGAAAAAATGCATTTTGAGTCCATCTGTTTCATATTTCTTCATTGTGGTATCACAGACTGTATGAAAACAGATAGCTCATTGGGCATGTAAACAAAAACCGCATGACCTCACATGATTCAAAATGAAATCAGTTTGTCTGCATACAATTTCATAAGATTATCACGGATTACATAAAACAAATTGTCGTTCTTGTCATGGTAGACTGACTCGAAATTCCAATCCAGAAATACATTTAGAGTAAGTGATACATTAGAATTATTCATATAAAAACACTTAAGCACACCTGTTTTGTTTTACCAAAATGTCTAGTTTTCTATTCAAAAATCAACAGTCTTCAAATCTACTTCCGGGACCTTTTGAAAATGCGACCAACAAAATGTATCATTATCTATCCGTAATGGCTAAAAATGTAGCCGGTCAATATTTATCTTAAATATATTATGGTAAACTATTTAAACCCACGTAGGTACGTTAAATACAGTCAATCTAAAAAAAAGTAGACTATAATTGTATGATAACCGTTAACTAAACGAACGTTAGATGAAGATCTAGTGATATAAAATATCGTTGTTGTTTGTGCACACATTACGCACATCATTACTGTGAGAATAATGGACTGTTTTTTCTTTCTTTCTTTTCGTAATGCTCTTTTCGAAATAAAGGACCCCGGAGGAGTGGTCTTGATAGTAGGGGAAAAAAACGATAGAGAGAGAATAGCATGCAATAGCCTGGGCGTGTTATACGTGAAGAAAACCTATAGAGACAGCCAAGAGTGGTTTTCACGATGAATGTGGAAGGGAAAATAAATAAATGGAGCTCCAAAAAATATCGTCGGTGCTAAGGTAATTGAAAATGATACATGCCGTACGCTATGTGTGTGTGTGTGGGGACGTTTTAAAAGATGTGAATCTTTATGACAATAATACAGAATGACCCTCTTCCCCAAATGTTTGGGAGAAAACATGCCGTGAATAAAGAACAAACAGTGTATATTTTTAAGTTGAAAATGATATGTTTCGATTAAACATTTTAAGGTGTTAAAGTTTAAAATTTAGAAAGTATGTTTAAACTTCAATAGCTTTATGGGCAGGTATTGAGTGTTAAATTACCTTAAACGGACCACCCTGTATTAAAATTATAGTCCGAAAAATAAGGATATCATATTGTACAATGTGGTAAACTTTTTAAATATAAACTGTTTTGAGGATAACTGAATTTGACAAATATAAACTATACAAAAAAATACCGTATATATATATATATATATATATTATATAATAATTTATTTATGAAATACAATTACTGTTTTTTTATAAGCCGCCCAAGTCATACCTACTGCACGGATTTGTATTAATAATTAAGTAAAATTGATTAGGTACACATAGGAATTGTTAATTAAAATTGATCCGGTTCGCTTAAGTCCTGGATATTTTGAATTCTCTGATATGTGATATTGCTTAGTACAATATACTCATCACAAATATGTGGGAAACAGCAATATGTGTTACCTATACGTTTAGCGGAAAGTACCTAACATTGTATTCAAGTGCTTTATATTCCTATATACAGTTGTAATATATGTTTTGCTTTGTAACCCAAGTCCGGGGATAATATCAGACATCAAAGCTAGTAATAAATTATACACGGGTAATCGAATTTCAATAGTACTCTTTGACTCTGATACCAGATGTGCCCGTTTTGAAACGCTAAATAATAGCATAAATCAATAATTTCAAGACGAAAAACAAATTCGAAAGAGAATACATACTTATTAAAATACGCCTAAAAACGTAATCGTGCTTTAACATTTCTGGCTTCGGCTGTTTAAAATGTCACGAATTTTTATTTTTTTACTGTATTTTGGTTTTTTCCAAACGAAATTGTCTCTGAATAAAGTTCACCGACAAAACAACAACTAGTGATGGACGTTTTATACACCAACGAAACCACCGGAGACCATACACAGGTGTCGTTCCAATTTCTCAGTATACTATGTTCACATAGTTACAACAAAATGACAGTTGCAATAAATGAGGTTTACCGGTATTTCGACATGAGTGTTTTTTAGCCACTGTCAATTTCGAAAGGTTAATTTGTACATAAAAAACAATATTGTGACAGGCACATGACATTGCAACAACTAGATTCGAAAAACAAATTCGAAATCTGGTTTAGCAGTATTGTTAGTATACCATTTACATATTGTTATTAAACATGTTAATAAATAAACTTTTTTTATATATAATTTATTTACACCGGTAATGGACCAACGCTGGAAGTATATTATTATTATTATGAGTACTTATTATTCGTTTAATAATAATAATATGCTCTACCTCGCACATCGCCAGAAGGTAGTGTGAAAAATCATATCATGAAACGCTAACTAATTGGTAATAAATTCTAATGCGTACAAAGCACTTGATTATCGATTGGAGGCAAAATAATGTAAAAAAACGCCCATTTTATCTGAACATTATAATATGTTGTTTACTTTTAGCTGATAATGAAATGTTTTTAAAATGATGTGCTTAATAATGATGTTAATAACAGTAATGTCTACTATATTGTATTCTTAATATTCCGAACAGTACCAGGTATTAACTATACCGAGGAAATCGTTTCCTTTTTGAGATTCTATAATATGATATTCTGAACTTTGCAGTTATACTCGGAAAGCGTGGTTCCCAATACATAATAAGGATAGTATATAGGGTATATACACACCTCCGGGTTTTCTGGGTATTTAAATTATCGAGTCTGAAGGGTCTGTGTACACTTCTATATAAATAAAAGCCAGTACAATCGCGTCGGAGCAAAGTAGGGCGGGGAGATGCGGTCACGGGTTCACAGGAATTATTGTAATAAACGCTTCGGTGCATAGCTGCAGACGGTATAAGTAGAAAAATCAATAAAAGCTATAATAGTATGCTAACCTTTGTACTTCGAGTACTGAGGAGGATACCATTAGAGTTGAAAGTATAATGAATACACCTGTTTGTACACCGATTTAAGGAACTAAAAACACATGATCCCATTTGAAAAATAAAGTCTATTCATTTTTTTTTATGTATAAGAGACGAAGATCAACAATTTCAAAGTATTGAAAAATGTAATAAAATATGTATACTAATATTAGTATTTTCTGAAAAAAATAGTGTCTTACATCAGATGGATCACGCTGTTGTGTGTGACATTTATACTGGCACTTCTCTGTTGACGTACTTGGATTAACATGGTATAAATAATAAATATGTTGATATGTAAAACTGTCGAGAATACCGCGAGACACGTTTATATTGTAGATATTTCTGTGTTAGTACATAAGTGTTATTATTATTCAAAACAGTTAAGGTTACCCTCGTATAGCTGGTGGAGGGTCGGTTGAATAATGGGCGCAGATAAAAATCATCATACATTACTCCAACGTTCTTCCCGTCCTTAACTTTAGACTTAACAATATTTATAAAAGTAATTGTCCAAAACTTGTTTTCGACCAGTCAAAATTTCCAGGAAATTATATTGAATTCAAATATATTAAAGTAATAAATATGTTTCCATTTAAAAAAATAGCTTAAGTTCTTAAGAGACGCGTTGTGGGATTAGGACTATATTTTTGATAAATATATCAAATTTGGGTGAGCTATTAACTATAAGAATACTTTAAGAACGATTTTGAAAACTCTTAATATCTTCTGGCATATTGAATCGGTCAAATCAGTGTGAATATTAAAAAAAACTACCTATGTGTTGTACGTCACATTTTAAGACGTTTGTATCGAGTGTTATTGCAGAGGTACCTCTAGAGGTTAATCGTTTTGTACAGTGTTAAACGATATAACTCATAAACGATGTTTACATGAAAATAACAAAAAGTGATAGCCAGATTTATGATTTGCTGGTTTGATGTGCGCGTTCCGAATAAATTAGCCAATAACCTGCTCAAGTTACATCCGCAAAAACCGCTCTTGGCAAAGCTGTTTACATGGCGTTAGGTGAGTCACGCGCAACCAAAGTCTATCATTAAAAGTATTTCTATTATTATTGTTGTTGTTATAATAAAATAGGTACAATAATATCAATTATCCCGGACGCAAATAGATAGGCAAATTAAACGTGTCGCGTTCCCGCCGACAAATTTTAAATTGTTACTTAGTGTGTGTGTATATTAACAGTGTACACTCATAAAAACAATTATTTAACAGTATCATTTTTGCTAAAAAAAAATAGGAGTGAATTAAGAACTTTCTAGGAGCCTTTTGGCTTCCAGCTTGGAATCCTCATTTCAATGTCAACAACTCTTTGAAAAGTGTTGGTAATTTTTTTAAAGCCGTATTGAACGGTTTAACAGGATTATTTCGATCCAAGCGGATGTAAAACCTTTGGGAATTGGTTTTGTTGCGAATTTGCGTTAAGTCGTTATTGAAAACAACCAATGGACGATAAAGGTACATACGGTTAATTGAATATTTTCTGTACCAGTTGAGCTACACCTATTTCCTACTTTAGTGTGTTAAAACGCGGCCGATTTTACTTGCGTTGAATACATTAACATTGATCGTTTTATGGTATATAATATCAGAAATAAAAAATCCCCCTTACTACGAGTGGCCCCTCGGTATACTTAATTCGACGGTGAACAAGTAAATAAAAATACTATAAAGAGGTGCCTATTTAACTCACGAGACAAATGTATGTATTGTATAAAAATTCCAAGTAACACGTTTTGGCGTAGCGTCGTTTTGAACATGTACTTACATTTTGTATATTTTTAATTATATTTTATGTAAGTATGTTTTGAAATTAAATTAAACTCAATGCTATGTATAGTGTATGTTCAAAGATAAAAACAAACCGTTGCCTTTGGTCGGTTTGGATTTCGTTTAAACCGCAAATGTCGACACCATCTTTTGGTGTTAGTTGATCGCCGGTTGAGTTAAAGAGGGTAGGCCTTGCCAAAATGTCGAACCTCAGAGTTATTTTACTTAACCACCGAAGTCGATTACTTGTAACGTCAATTCCGGCCGCAATGGTCGGCCTCTTTATATTATGTTTACTTCAGATTTCCAACATCATTGTTATTAAATGATTCCTAACCATTTGTTAACCACCCCCGCAAACCGCAGCGATTGAAATCCATAACTGTTCGAACAACGCCTAAAAACAAACCGCCTACCTCGTCAGACTTAAAAAAACTTTCTATTTTTTTTCCATAGCTCTATCGATTTTAAAAACATAAACGATATCGTACATATTTAATTAACTTTTTATGTTAACATTAATTAGCTGAACATTTTGACTGGTCGATAACCGGTTTTGGATAATTACTCTTAATGGTACCGAAGTTTAAAATGTTATCTGCGCGCGTTGCTTAACAGCACTTCACCTCCCGCCTTAACTCTAATAATTTGTTTAACGGGGTTTAAACAGGAAGTTAGGTATAGAAAAATGTTTAATAAAAAACAAATTTATAGTCTATAATAATTATACAGCGAGTTTAGTACTTTAAACAAAAGTCTAAACTATTAAATTTGGAGAAAAAAAACTGCCAAATCATTGGCACATAACTTCCTCAAAAATCAATAATTGTTCTCATTCAAATCCAAAAAATCACTAAATCAGTCAATTGCCACCGAAATTTAATCAGACCATCTAAGCAACTAAACAAACTTACTGATGAAATTTTAGAGGAAAATTTTTCACTTTGCTGTAAATTCGTGCTAATCCGTTCTGACAAACGGCTAATGAACGATACAATTATATGGTTACTTGAATATTTTCTATACCAGTTGAGCTCTGGGCTCTATATTCGGTTCACTAGTTTAACTGGTCCGAGCCATAAGCATCAGCAGTGTCACGGCTAAAACAAACATATATGAAATTCTGCCTAACAAATCGGTTGGTTATGGAACTTGACTTAATCGGCATCTATATATGTATTTCCAGATAAAAAACCAAATTAATGGCCAAACATTAATCTTTTTATGGTATAAAACCTCAGAATTAAAAAAAAATAATCCCCCTTACTACCAATTGTCACTGGGTATACTTAATTCGACAGTGAACAAGTAAATAAAAATACTATAAATAGATACCCACTTAACTCACGCAACAAATGTATGTCTACCATATAAATTCCACTTAACGTGTTTTGCCACTGTGTCGATTTAAACCTGTACTTACATTTTGTACTTTTATAATTATATTTTATATAAGTATGTTTTGAAAATCATCAATTAACATCATAATATATACTTAAGTTAAAAGAATAATTATTTTTTTAATTTGCTCGATTGACATTGGACTTGGACAATCAAGCACATAAAATAATAAAATAATAAAAATATATTTTACGACACAGGGTGAGTATGACCTGTTAAATGAGATGCATTGCATATTGTATAAAGCAATATTATATTGTTTGACGAGCCAAGTAGGTACAGGTGTGTTTACAGGGTGATCGATCTGACACTTATTTTCTCTGAAAATGTGACTATTTTAAGACAATTGTTTCGATAAATATTTTAGTATACTTTTCAACGCTTAGAATTGTCTTCATCTTCATCCCTTATCCGTGAAAGTAGTATGGACATTATTTTTCAAATGGGAACATGAGTTTTTAATTCCATAAATATGCAGACACGGCATTTTAAAGGATATTAGCGTTCGAATTTTTAATTTTCAACAATTTGTTAGTTTGCTATGACTAACATGTTGTGTCTGCATTTTTATTGAACTAAAAGCACATGTTCCCTTTTGAAAAAAACGGCAGTCCGTAGTTGTTATAGATATAAAGGATATAAATAAACTATTTTGAAAGTATTGAAAAACATAGTAAAACATATACCTACGAGTATATGCAAAACATATTTTCTTAAATATCCTTAAATATTTTCCGGGAAAGTGAGAAAGATTAATCACCCTGTATACCTTTCATACTATAATAAATGTGTATTTTTTTAAATCTGATCATAGCAATCGAGTCGCCAATCGATACGAACATTTACCGAGTTATATATTATTTATTATTCTCACAAAGCAACTCCTCGATGACATTATTGATAAATTTTTGGCACACTTTATAAATTATGTAATGTTTGTAAAGATAACCGAATAGACCTGCATTGTGTTTTACACAGCTTGCTGTTTTTCAAATCGAAATTCGTGTTTATCAACTGCAGTTAAAGGAGTAAGAAATCAAAAACAATGACTTGAAACGGTCAAGTGTCAACTTTGTGCAATAACCACAACCAAAGGCAAAATCCTCTAAAATTATAACATTTTACCGTTTAAGTGGGTGTTAAAAACAATAACGGAATAAATATTATAATGTTATGTAGAAACTTGTAAAAAGAATACTGTATTAAAATTTGTCCGCTATTAAAGCGGTTTTTGTCTCATACAGCATACCAATCCCGTTGCGAATGTGTTGATGAAAACGTTATTAAAAAACAATAATACAATTTAAAAAATATTAGTTACTTAATGTCAATCAAGTTCAAGAAATGTATGTAAACATAACCAGATCGAACTTGTATTTTTGGTTTTTTAATTTCTATTCTGTTATATCGAAACAAAATAATATGTAGATTGCCAATTAAATAGCGAAAAACATAATAAAACCAAAAATTTAACCTAACGTTATTTTTTGGTGGCGTCTAAGTCTTAGCTGGTGTCCCAAGACCGGTCGAGCAAATTAATATCGTGTCAAAAAATAAATTATTTTAAAACTCGTTTTCAGGCAGCTCGATACTAGTTTTAAGTAGTAATTCTTTCAATGCATACATATTGTCTTAAGTCGTTGTAATAAGAGGTCTGAAAATGTATTGGAATCGATTATCTCAACGCGAGACACTCACATTTTCTTGTAATGCTCTTTTATGTGCTCTTTTTGAGTAATGCAAGCAAATAAAGAAACATTATTCACTCCAAAAGTAGTTATCCAAAACTGGTTACATTTTTTTGGGTAAATTATTCTTCTTATAAAAAAAGTTTATTAAATATATATAAAGTTACAAAAATTGAAAAAGCTCTGATAGCACTAAAAAAAGTGATTAATTATACTGGTTTTATAGTGCTATGCAAAATATGAACAATTTTTTTTTTCAAAATAAAAATCACATAATTGCAACTAAAAAAATGAGTGTCTTGTTTTTATTGAATCACTTTGTGTAACCAATTTTGCATTTATAGCTTCAAAACGAAAATATATGAAAAATACACAATATTAAAATAGTAAAATAATAATTATCATTGGCATTATCTGTTTATACATTTTCTTTTTAGATCATTGACTACCGTGACGATTGCCAACTCTCGAGGTCAAACTATAGGCCTTCCGTATAATTTTTTTTTTTTTTTGCTTAAGTATTGCTCATTAAGTATATTATAATACCATCATAAGGAGGAAAAATACAGTCTAACCCGGATATCGACCGGTCTGCAATCTTAATCCATTCATTCCAAGTTATCACTATCAGCTATTTTGGTAACCACTACATACCTGACGGGTACTTTATTGGTTACTTTAAATCTATAGTTACTTTTTTTTTAATTAGACCCCCCCCGGCCAAAAAAAATTACACTTTGATCTAAGTGAAATTCTAAGGTTGCTCAATGTGTATAGTAACTAATTGTGTCATTAATTGTGATGTTTAACATACTTGTTACATCGTACTTCAATCCTTGCAATTCGGCAAAACACGGCTGGTAAGCAATGTTGCCCCGTTGTGTTGGCGGCCAACATATTAGTGTATCCGAAGAGGCGTTGCATCCATTCCAGTTCAGATAGTCGGTCATCCGGTACAAAGACCTGCATTTTGCGGCAGCCTAGAAATCATTGGAATCATATGGAATCGCTATAGCTTGAGTTTTAAACGGGTAGACCTAGTTGTATGCAAATTTTTTCCCCCACCCTATTCCAAACGGAAGGAGCTGGCCGTTGTTCTATCTACTCGGCCATGATAACTACATGAAATACATTATTTATACAATCCAACCTATTTCTTACCAAGTCGATCATGTGGGAATTCGCAAACAGTCCTTCTGTAATAATCGTACTTACTTCTTCGTTTTGTATCCAAGTACTATTGATAATATCCATGTCGATTTTTCATACTGAAACGTTCAATGTGGTGCTACGGCACAAACAATAGATCTGAAACGGATACAAGATAACAATTAGTGGTAATCAGTTGACGAATATGGAAAATATACAGTATTTCCCATAGGCCTAGGTTAGGTTGGGTTAAACCTAAAATAAATGATAAAGACTAATGTTAAGGCTAAATATTTATTTTCTTCTCCGGCTAATGCTTTATTTATGGTTGTGGTTGTTGTTGTTACTATTTAAATTTTCATAAAAAAAAAAAATAATTCAACATAAAAAAATCAGTCTTCAGTTATAATGCAAACATTATAGTTGTGAACTGTCCAATATAATGTCATTCCATTTGCATTCAGTTCTAAATATATTACTACTCAAAAGTTATTTGTCTTGACAACGTTCAATTTCGGTTCACCGACTACACACATCTATTATTATTGAATAATAGGCCGCATGTAAGTTTCTCTAACTTGAATCCTACTTGGCGTAATCCACTAAAATATTCACTTTGAAAGTTTAACTAAACGTACCGAGTTACTTAATATTATAAATCATGCTACAATGGTACAAGTTCAAAACTTCATACTTGGCAAGAAGGTGTCAAACCATGTCAGACAATCATGGCGTTTATCAAAACAAAAGTTCCTACGCCGAAAATAGCTTTTAAAATATTAAGTTATGTAGTATAATTAGATATGTTCTATTGGATTTAAATAAATTACTACTATCAACATACATGGTATTATAATTTGGATGTACAAAAGTAATTGTCTAAAGTTACTTAATACTAATGCTGCTGACATTAAGTAATTGATTATCTATTTTTAAAGATTTTCCGAGTAATTAATTTGATATTAGCAGAGCGTATTACTGATATTTACAATCGGTTTTTAATTGTTAAACAATACATATTAATGTAACGTAGATTTGCTTAGGTAAAAATCACGCGTCTACTTGAGATGTTTTTAAATCCTCATTTTTGTTATGTTGTCATATATTTCACCAGACTGCTTGGAAATTAATAAAAGACAACAGTTTGATATAAAATTCAAGTCTGGTGTGGTGACATAATAAAGTTTAGATTGAATTCGAAATGACACTTCTATACTACAGCAAGACATCTGTCTGTATAATATATCTATATATTCACTAAAGGTATACATAGTATGTATTACATACTATTGTAGCAGATACAGCATTAGAACCGTATTGGAAGTGACAAAAAAAAACGTCCCCAAAAAGAATTATTGTCATCTGATTTGGGCATTTGAGTGCTGTATAAAGATCTTTGGCGAAATTGGCAATTTCAACTTGTCACGATACGTGTGTACCTACCTAACTTGTCCTATTTGGTAATGACACCGTGAAAAACCGATTCGGTGTTTTTTAAATAGTATATTTTGGCACTATGTACAACATGGACGTTATTATTCCTTTGAAATCGATATTCGTGTTTAATGTATGAAAATACAATATATTATACTTGTATTTGAATTATCATTTTTATATAATATCCGGGCGTTACAATAAATAGCATAAATTAAAATAATAACAACAATGTGAACATCTTCGAATCAAAACAAGTATGAATTATCAATAACTACATTATACATTTGACCAGTTGCTTTGTATTCTATCCCATAAAAAAATAGCATAAATGTATTACAATATAATATATATATATATTTTTTTCTTTTCCATAGTTTAAAATAAACTGGTTGTTCTAATATTTTATTCTCCGAGAAGAGGTGCCGGTAAGGTTAGGATTTGAACACAGTTTTTACTGCAAAATGTTTGTAAGTAGTTTTATTTTTTATAAACAGCTATGTATAATTGCACTATATAGTATTGATTTTGGATTAAATTATGCAAAACATTTTACGCCCAAAACGGTAAGTACGACTAAAACGTCTCTTTATGGAAATTCGCGTACAAAAGCGCTCCGGTAGTTGTAAAAATAATAAATTATTATTATTGTAATGACCGAGTAAATATTTGGTTATCGGTTTGGAATTTATAAACGGTTTTTTTTTTGTTACTGACTGACATTTAAAAAAATACAAACAACATTACCGTACACTAACGGTCGCAAGATGTACCCGATAGAATAAATAAAAGTATTTTTTTTTTATTTACAAATCGGTTAAGACTTTTGGGCAGATTAAACTCGAGTCTAAGTGTTATTGTGGAAACAATTTGGCATTTTTTTTTTCCAGATGGAAATACCGTCGTCGGATTAATTTTGATTTGTATATGGAAATGGGTCGGGGCCGTCGACAGGAAAAGGTTAATCGGATGAACAACAACTGTAATATTGTTGTATGACCTAAATATTGTACACCAATTATGCGTGCACATACATTAAAGGTTCTGGGAAAACCCGAAGTTACCTGTGCGTTTCGGTTTTGCTTACCGGCTCGGTAAACAACACATAAATTAATAGTAGAATTAAAGAAAACAAATGAACTATTCATTGGATTAGGTACACACACCGAAGACCGATTAGCCGAACAATCATCATCCGACCACTTCCTACACACAACTAGATAATAGTCCATTTTATATTATTAATGTTGATTTCGTTCGGTAAATAAGCAATAAAAAAATACTTACAAACGCCCGTCGGTCGTGCCAATCGTTTTCAATTAAAATAGGTCGCTAGTTCGTTTGATAAACGATAAATGATAATCGCATACCGTCGACTCGACAAACGTGTATTGTCAATGAATGAATAATCATGAATGAATTTTTAATCGAAAACAAAAACCTAAAGGTTATTCGAAACCGTTCTACATATTATCCTAATACCAATATAATATTGTATATATGCATTAAATTTTTTTTTCTTGCATTCATAAACTCTATAGCTGGTTGGCGCAACTAAAGCGAGGGTCTAGATAAGTTCAAATCTTTATAAACTTGTTCAGGCTCAAAACAAATATTTTTAAAAAGATCTGAACTTTCTAGGCTATGACTATTCCAATGCTATTGCTTGTGTGTATTCGAAGTGGATGTTTTTTCTAGCCCCTCCTTCCCCCCAATTTTTCGTTCCTAGATCCACCCTGCTGAACAAGATACAGAAATAGTTACAACAATAATAATAGGTATATCATGTATAGGTATTCCAAAAAAATTTAAAACACCCATTCTTACGGCCCCTCTATGATGTAGCACCACCCGTAGAGGGGTGTTTGTTTCTGGTAAACTCTGTATAATGATTTGCATAGTTTGTATACACATTATACAGGGCGAATCCCATTCTCAGTGGTCGCTAAGGTCCTCGTGACCCATTCATTAGAAAATATTTTTTTTTTTTGTTAGCTTATTGTGCAATATTGTAGAATTTCCAATTTTTTTAAAATGTTTTATTGCAATATCAGCTTATAACTAAAATTTACAATTATTCACCTTTTTTATACACCTAATTCCTAATATTCCACTTAAGTATATTACTATTATTACTCATTATTATATTTCATGTACTCACATACTAATATACAACTCTACAAGTAATATGTTTATTATTTTTATCTATTATTTGTGTTTAAACTAAAGAGTTTCTTTCTTTCCTAATATATTTAATGGAAACGTTTCGTTAGGGTAGGCAATTGCAATTTTGTTGTTTTCTTTTGGGATACACTTTAGTTTGCGCTATTTCATAATATTAGACAATAATTGAAATGTTTTATTTTTCCCAAAGCGCTATCAATCCGAGAATAATTTGCTCAAAATGTTGACTTGTCGATGGCCACTTTTGAATAATTACTTTTAAAGTCATTAACATTTTAAGTTTAACTTAACCTGACCCTAAAAGGGAGAAACGATGGAGTGAAGTATCATTTATATTTCACTCAATCTTTCAAACTTGACTATACTCTAAAAACATCTATAGCGTTTCTGGAAGGCATTTTTCTGTATTCTCACTGTGAACAAAACACAAACATCCATGTCGATTGCATGTTTGTTTATTTATTATTTGAAGTTGAATTATTGCAAATAACATTAAAAAAAAAAAAAAAAAAATACCCCAGAAATATACTTAAGGAAACCATTGAGATAATGTAAACGGAATAATTTAATAAGGTAAGCGGCTTTTTTTTTATTAGTATTTCCATAATGCAATGCATTAGACCATGAATAGGTAAATTGACTTTTTATTAAAATTATTATACAATATTATTATTTATACTATAAACTATTGGCACGGTAGTACATAATATTTTGTTTATGATATTATCACAAACAAAATATAACATGATATGTGTGGATTTAAACTTAGTATTAGCATAACACGTGCTAATATAAGGATTTAAATAAATTACACATTTTTAATAATTAATATTCGATTTTCGTTTGTTTTGAACAAATACCTGGATTTTGTTAAAAAAAAAATTTTAAAAACAGGTACTAATTTTATTCAAAGAACGATATAAATGCTTAACGTCAATATTTACATTTGTGTTTGTTCTGTTGTGTGTAACTATAACAAAACGTCAACTTGTTTATCATTATAAACCGATAGCAGTAATAACAGAAACTTGATAGCAGAAACTTGTAATGGTATAATGGCATGCGCAAATTAATTAGACAAATTCAATGATAATGAATAAATTATAACGGCCACTAAACAAAGAGTGTGTTTAAAAATATCGTCGAAGACAATTACTATTATAAACTATTTAATTATACTACTATTATACGAGTATGTCTTTTTTTTAAAGATACAACTTTATCCCATTGATATTCTGATAGTGTCCATTACAACGACCTAGCACACTTTGTTTTTATAATAGGTATTACCTCTGCAATGTTGTTCTTGTATATTATATTTCATTTAACGACCGACCGTAGTACAGGTTTGGGTTGTACAATGTACACACAATAGGTATAATAACGACTATACAATTTTCGGCAATTAAACAAACATTGAAAAATAATTAAGTAAATTAAAGGCAACTAATTATTCTATATAGTAATAATCGGGAATTTTATTACACACTGACTTATGATAATCAAAAACCACTAACGAGCGTATTGCCTAAGTATGAACCATCGCAGGAAATATAGTATTGATATTTTTTTCATGCTCATTACTCGATATATTTGCAATCTTTTGATTATTATTAAATTTGAAATTAATATTTTTGAAACATTTTTAGTTGTACAAAAATACAGAGAAATCCTTTTAACAAACCACTCAGTATGTCTTGAAATAATTGCGTTTTTAAAGTTTTTCTATTGAAGAAAAAGATTTTTTTATGTAATTGTAAAACCACTAAATAATATGTACCTATTTATTAGGATTTTCAAAAGCGTTATTGACTTTTGAAGTTATTTATTTGATTAGGTTTTTGAAAGACTATGATCATTTTCTGTAAATGTTAACTTGTCAATTACCCGTTTTGAATAATTACTTTTAAGGCAATTATTGTAATTAAATTTTGGATGTTACTAAAGTGCCTTTCATCCTAAACGACTTTAACAACATTAAAAATAAATACTCAAAACTGGTTGTCAATCAGTCAAACATTTTTTAAGCAAATCGTTCTTACTATATAATTTACAATACACTTTCCCATTTAAGTTTCTAAATTTACAGTGCTTTGAAAATTATTAAAAAAACAAAAATTACTAAACAATAATATAATTTTTTATTTATGAAAAACTAAAAACTTGCAACTATTTTTTGGGAGAAAAAGTGTCTTGCGTTAAATGAACCAAGCTGTATACCTTTATTTCTGGACAACAATTTTCTAGGTTTATGTCCATACGGTTATTGTAAACAGCAAAATCTCTTATTTCTTTGTTCTCACCTATGCGACCAGCACATGGCTGATTGGCCTCAAGGTATTAGTTTCCTAGTTCATAATTTCATGGAAATTCGCAAGAATTGCCTATGAGCCATGACCGGAAATAGAATATTACTACAGAAGTATACCTAATAATATTTCAACTATACACACAGCAATAACAATCGTAGTAGTTTTCTCATAAATCAATCTATTAAATAAACTGCGTTCAATAATTATTACTATTTTACCGGTTTGAACAGTTTGACGGCCAAATCGTCCACGGTTTGTACTGAACTCGACCGAATCGTTAACTTTTAATAATTACATTTGGTCGAGGTGAGGGATAACCTACAAGTTGAGGTGTGTTCCAGAGATTGGCAATGTTTTAGCGTGTTAAGGAAATCAAAACGGTCATATTCGATTATAATGATGATAATTATATAATTTCATAGTTCATCTTGACATCTGTCTTGAGACCATTTCGCTTGACCAACCGTGAAGATCAAGGTAATATCAAGTAGGTATCTGTTATTAAAGACATTGGGTTATATATTATACTATTATGTTTGTCTATTACACGCAGAAATTAATAACTGTTTACAATTGTGTAAGATGTGTAATTGGCTAGGTAAATTTGTTTTTTAAATTTTATTTGAGCTCTTATGAACAATATAATTAATTATATTGACATGAAAACGTAATACCGTATAACAACTAATTGGTTGAACTATATTTTTTAAGTTGATTTCAAGTCCTAAATCTATTTAAGATTACGGGATATCAGACCTGCTACTTAATTGTACCAACGAAAAAAGGAAAACATAAATACTACAAAAGACTTGTTATTGCATTTCTCGGAACTTCGGTACACAGAATTATATAGTAAAAAAAAATTAATGTTACTTTAATTGAAAACCGGAAGAGTTGGAATGCGGATTGACTACTCACAAATTATATACATTATAAAAACAATAATTATATAATGCTACACTACTGCTGCTTAAGGTCGAATGACTGATAAACCGCAGCTGATGTGCTTCGCAACAAGATTGTGCGTCGGTATGATTACGAAATAGATAGATGAGTACAGCCCATCTAAAAATAGGTAAACAAATTTTTCTAAAAATTCAAAAAAATCTACAAAAGTTGATAAAGTTCAAGCATATACTAAAAACGACAAAAATTCGAATATTGTACTATAACATAAATACAAATGTTTTCAAAAAGAAACCTTACAAAACTGCAATTGTTTTAAGAGTAAACTAGTGTAGGGCGTTTTAAGAATCATCATAAATCTTACTTATACTTGGCGTTTTGGAGTTTTCAAATTTATTTGAACACAGATATGAGTCAAGGAAATTTACCTAAAATCGTCCTCGCGGTTATCCATTAGGGTGATTGGTGTAATTATTAATATGTTATGATTAAAAACACATTTCAGGCACCTGAAAAACACCCATCATTACATTTATAAAATCTAGACAAAAAAACTTCTCATACGGCTAAAAACAAAATATCAATGTTGAGAAAATGTTTGTAATATTTGTTTTTTCGAGTTTCGAAAATATTAATTATAACTATTTTGTTTTTATCACCGAGGTATTTCGCAAGTTTTAACAGTATCCAACATAATAGTTTTTGAAAATATGTAAATTTGTTTTTAATAAATGCATTTTGTTTTTAACTTTTTTTTTAACATTTAATCTTATAGCGTAATATGATTTAAAAATATAAACAAAATTTGTAAAACATTAATAACTATACGCCGTAGGCATTCTTAATTAAATAGAATGTACAACAACAAAACAAATTTTCTGAAATATGTAATAATTTAAATGTACTAATCCATAAGAAGTGCTAAATATTGATATTTTTGGATTTAAGTTTTATAAAGTCACGTGTATGCAAGTTAAAGAAAAAGAAATTGGGGCGTTTTCTTGATTTTAAAAAGGGAAGGGGTGACATTTTTTTAATTTTTGGTGAATAAGTGTTTTACCTAACTTAGTTTTTAATTTAAAAATACCTACATGAAAGAAGACTGTTGTTATTTTAATTCGTTCACTATTATTATGGAAAGTTGAATACTATTTTCCTTAAAATAAGTCGGTATTTTATTTGATGTTTATCATTAATTACTATTAAATTAATAAAGTACTCTTGTTTTTTTTTCTTTTTTAATGTATGTACTGTTATTAATCACTACTGATAGTTGAAACTTATGTTCCTCGAGAAAGATGTTAATACTTAATATGTTATTTTTAGTATTTTAGTAAAGTAATTTAGATTTCATTTTATACATTATTATTTGATGTGTTTAATAATACTTGAATATTGATTTGAAATAAAACATTTAAACTAAGGACAAAAAACAGATTTCGACCGAACTTGACAACTGTTGTGAACAGGCAAAATTTGGTCAATTGTACAAATCGCAACCATACATGAAGAAATCAGTTCAGCGACTTAGAAGGTCCATATGCAAAAGAAAAACATTATTGGAAAAGCAATACCTTCCTAGCTACTCACTAATTTTGTTAACCTTTTTTATTTATTTTTTTTACAAATGATCACAGCTATTTTGGATGTATGAAGTCATATTTGAATACAAGCTTTTTTTTTTTACAAACAATTTTGGAATATCGCCCTTAAACATTTTATAGATGCATATTAACCTGCTGCTGTTGACGGTCGTGCCGAGTATTTTTTCAAATTAAACCAGACAAAAACTTACATAAAATGGTGATTTTCGATTACGCCAAAAGACGGCTCAACTGCAGTCCGGGGGCGGTGTCGTCCGAGATTCAAATCTTGCAGCCCTTTCGGGGGGGTGGCTATGTGACCTAGCGGGCATTTCGGTTTGGGGTTTTCATCGATGCTCGTGTGCAGAGGACAAAAATCGAACCGGACCAAACGAAACGCAACACAAAATACACACAAGAACCAAAACGAAAACGAATCTCGACAAAACCACCGAAAATAAATAACTAATCGAAAAAACGCGGCAAATGCGTTTGACGCCTTGCTCGAACGTCTACTGCGACAATATTGAACCCTGGCAATTGGTTGCCAGCAATAATATTAATACTATCATACACACCGTGCATTCCCCCCTGTTGGCAAACACCGTCGGCCAGTTATTATAATAATATAATGCTAGCCGACCTGTTGTTGTACAGGGCGATCTGATTAGCATAACGCATTCGATAGCCCGCGGAATAGCTACAATTACAAACGTTTACATTAGTTCAGTTGTACGGTACATTATAAAGTTAGGTACCTAATATTTACCCTTGACCGCTTGACTTTTTGAGATCCGAAGGTGGTCCGAAGTAGATAGGTACTTAAATTTATTTTCCATTTTTGTGGTGTTGGTTAGAAGTGATGATCACATAAAACGGTCACCGTAAAACACACCGTCATAGAGCGTTGCGGTTACTTACTATTTTGGTTTCTCACTTGTATAGCTTGAATATATTTTGTTGGTTATGTTGGCAACCGGTTTTAATTGAAAAAAATTTCGTTTTTTTTTTTTGTAATTAAATAAATTAAATTTGTTAGTAATTTTTACATTAAAAAAGCAAAAATCCGTTTCTAACATGACCTAGTCGAGTAGTCAACATTTTGTCGGGGTCTGGCTTATATTTAATTGACATAAAAAAAATGAGAGAAATTTGCGCAAAATTTTGACGTGTCAATATGCAGTTTTGAAAATTATTGAAGTTCAAAAAATTAGGACGAGAGGAACAACCAACGGTGTGGTATGTATTATTTTTCACACCCTGATAACTTCAAAAGTAATTTTGTAACAATTGTGAATATGTGTATAAGTCGATTTCAGGGATTTTACAGGGGAGCGATTTTAAAATTGAAAGAAACCACTTGAGTACCTCTAAATATTTATCAATATAAGAGTATCATAAAAAAAGAAATTTGTTTAGGTGATATTGAGTGTCTTATTTTAAACGGATCGCCCTGTATACAGTAGGCACCTATAACTCGTGTAGTAACCACCGGCTGCCGGCACTGGTTTTCAAGTTCATCCGGATCTGCCTGAGTTTGAGAGACTTAAATAATACACAACAATATAATATATTGTGCAATTTTTTTCTTGGCCATTTAACCCATTTCCGCTTCCAGAATATCTCTCCACGTCATTCATTTGATTAACAAAGTAAATTTTACTTTTTGAATAAAAAATTTCTAACTCAAACTAATAAACATCTTTGCAATTTAAAAAAAAGATTCTTGAAGCTGAAAACAAAATTCTTCAAAATCACTCTCACGATAAAAATTAACACTGCAGTTCAAACACACTTCTAAAGAACTCTACACTTTTTCCCTGTATCCAAAACAGGTACAATTTTTTATTTATTTGTTTTTAGTTAGCTATATTGTGAGAGTATATTTAATTTGTTTTTAATTAATTCAAAATGTTATAAAATTAAGCAGAAAAAACAAGATTATTTTCAATGGAGTACTCTCGTATGTAAGAAATATATTGACACTTGACTGGAACCGTATATTTTCAAAAAGCAACGGTAATAAGTGGTTTTTTAATTCGGCCAGTCCCCTTAGGACACTTCAAAAAGCAGCTGACAAAAAAAATCTTTTAGAACGCACTAACCCATAAAGCGTGAGTGGTTACGAATACCAAACCACTATAGTGAGATCATCACAGGCAAGTCTGGTGGAAAAAGAGGGGAAAAACGCAACTCTCAAATTTCAACTCGAATCCTATTCATGAGAATTCATCATAACGCCCTGGTGATGATCGCAAAAATCTTTCTTTGTGTACGGTTATCCCTTACGTTTCCTTCTGGTTCGCCTAAACCGTATCTGATCACACAAATTGTCGTCGAACGATGAAAATATGTAAGCACATTACGAATAAACATGAGCAAGTATCATTCGGATTACATCAACTAACATAATATAGCTACTGATTCTGTCCGAGTTCAGTACAAACCGTGGACGATTTGACCGCCAAACGATTAACTGGTAAAATAATAATAATACTTATTATATTGAAGTTGAACGCAGTATATTTAATAATTATTTGATTTATTACTAAATTATCACAATTATTATTATTGCTGTGCATACCTAGTTAACGTTTGAAATATTATATTATTGATGTAATAGTGTGGTAATGGTTTTTATTTCCAGTCATGGACTATAGCCCATTGGTAATACGCATGAAGATTCATTATGTTATGCGTTTTAATTGTACTGTTAATACATAAACAGGAAACTTTTATCCACAATCTATGTGATGGCTACAAGAGACGCGCATATACTAGGTGAAGAACAAAGCTCCATTACTCTTAAAAACAATATGGGCATAGTCCTAGTAAACTGATAATTTACAAAAAAAAATTTTTTTTTGTAATTTCCAGAGAGATTATTTACTAGTATATTTGATTAAATTCTCAACACGGAGAAACGTTAAAATCAATGTGTGAAATGTTCACAGTTAAGACTAGAAGTAAGTGAGTGTCATAAAATGTATTCATTCTTTATATGTTGCTCCTTGAAGAGGAGGAAATTGTTTTTTTACCGTTATCTTTTTTTTATTATTCGTTTGAATGTCTAAATTATACTGTTCATTATAATTTCCATTAATGGCTAGGGACTAGAGTTGAAAATGTTGACTTGTCGATAACCAGTTTTGAGTAATTATACTTAAAGATATTATATACTACAAAGTACACCTATAGATCTATCTTCGGTGTAATTTTCAGACCTTAAGCTTTAAAACTTCACCTAAAAAATCGAAATAAAGAAAAAGTTCCCTAACTTTATAGGGCAATTGGTAAATTATATTTGTTCGGTTTGTTATAGCAAGTTGTAGATTAAGTCGCAAAACATGTAACTTTTTTTGGGTGTTTTTCTCGTTTTTTAACGGAAAGAGGTGAACTTTTTAAATTGTTTGCCCAAATCTATAGACTGGTTACAAGAAGAAAATTAGCGGTTAGAAAGATATCTTGGGTCCGGAAACAAAAAATAAATAAAAACACATCTTTGTAAAAGCGCATCGAAACTTAACCGCACTATTCCTATTTGGTTTAAGGGTTCTTTCAACAAAAACAAATATTGTGTTTTTTTTTTTGACGATTTTTTTTTAGAATTGTAAAACTACAGACTTGTGTCCAAACTTGTACCACGATCTGGAAAACAAATGTCCTGACCGATGAGTTTGATGGATTCAGTCTTTTCGTTTTGTTTTTATCTTCAATTTTACTCCAATCGTAAAATGTGTCAACCACCGAAATAGGACAAGTCTCCCATCTACAATAATATAGTTTTACGACGGATAAATAACAAATAGATATATACTTTGCCTAAAGTAAACGCTATAAAAAAAAAAAAACGCTGGGATGTATCTATAAAATATTAAATATTATACCATGTTGTCTGTATGGAGTTAATTGCGTTCACACCAGCTGGTTAAGCTAGTGATGTTTTTTAATATTTTATTTCACGACCTTTTCGCCTACTCCAGCGGTCTGCTTCGTTAATGCATCAGCTGACCAAATAATACTTTTAATAACCAAATAATTGATATTCTAGAGTAGGATTATACACACAAACCAGACTGTGTGTGGCGTTAATTTAGTTTTATTTGATGACAGACAAGTACACTAGCACAGCATATCCATCAAACGATCATGCCTCAGTCAATATCTTAAAAGTTATTAGGCTTTCTTAAACATTATACTTTAGTAGTTAATGGCTCGGTCAATTTTGATCCTTTCTAAAAATACTATAACCCCATCCCTTATGTGTCGAAACCGTACGCACTTAATTTTTTAAATGGTAAAATATATATTTTATTGACTTAATTAAAAGAAAAGTTATTTTTTGAAAAATTCGACTGACCCATTACCAGATTTTAGCAATTACATTTAAAGGAATTAGAGTTTTATAAGTCTATGACGGGAGGTGAAGTGCGGTTGAGTGATGCAATCAGATAATATTTCAGTCCACCCTTTCTCTTGTTCTAAGTTTAAAACTCTAATACTTTGAAAGTAATTATTCAAAATTGGTTATCGATTAGTCAACGATTTATGTTAATAATTCTACTTTATAAAAGTCAATTGAACATAATAAACGTTATCATTTAAGAGATTTTAAAATCGATAACGTTCTGGAAAATGCTAATAAAGATAAATAAATGATAATTTTACAATATTGTAGTACAATATTGTTGTACAACAGAAAAATAAATAGTTTTTATAAAGATAAACTACAAAATTGTAATTATTTTCCGACGATATATTATTATACTTGTAAATAATAAATTACATACTTATATATATATGTGTGTGTGTGTGTGTGTATATCTTTGACATGCCATTGGTGTTGACTAACTCGTATCAGACACATTAAACGTCTTACTGAAATTGATAAAAAATTAACAAATTAATATGAAATTATTTGCATACTTACATCGCTGTAAGTATGAGAGTCGAGAATTCGAAAATACGTTTTTAAACCCAATTCTTTTTCCAGTCTTTCATTTAATTACTAAAATGAAGGTCGTCTACCCCTTTCTCATCCCGTGCAACTAGATAATGTCTACTTCACTGCTATACTTAAAAATTTGATAACATATAAATGTATATGAAACCGGAAGGCTAGAATGATCTAAATTGGAGTAAAAATTACAATATGTAAATTTAAATTATTTTTAAACCGCGTTTTTATGTTTCAATATTTTGTGGTCGAAACTTGTTGGTTGTGATTAATTTAGTAGAATAAAATACAATTTACACGAGATGAGCGTTTTAGATATTTTTTATGGGAATTTAAAGGGGAAAGTTTTTTATTTTTATTTTACAACCATGTGATTTTGTCGCACAATGCAACCACTAGAGTAAAACTATTTGTAGTTCTTTATATTTGTTTGTATTTCTTTTGAGAATTTGAAAAGATACTAAAAATGACTTATACCTATTCATCTAAAAATAAGAAAAATAACGGGTTTGTTTTCAAAAGAAGCTAACCAAACTGATGGAACTAGATTTTTCGTTTTAAATGTTTCGCAATATTGTA